GGGGCTCCTTCAACGAGGTAAACGCCCTGGACCTCTCAGTGACCTCTAATAAGTTTTTCGGCCAGGTGTGTGAAGTCAAGCTAGGAAAATCTACGAAGTGAGAGAATGTCTAGTGTATGGCGATTCCGTCGCGATTAGTTGGAAGAATGACGAAAGCAGATGCATAGAAGTTGAAAGCAATCGTGGGTGGGAAGTTGTGTTGCGTAGTAGCGGTGAGTGAATNAGGCGTTAGATCATTCCTTCCGGCTAAAAAGAAGTATTACCCTATTCATTCTTCCTCTTCTAAGATTCTACAAAGTCTCAGAAGGGATAGAAGGCGAAGCGGAAGAAGCAGCTGAATTGAGTTCCTACTCATTTCCTTTTTTGCATTATTGTTTTGTATTCTGCAGCAGAACCCATGGTCATGTCAATTAAGAATGCTCTGCAAAATTGATATGATCGGAATTGCTCTGCAAAACGAGCATGAATTGTAATGGATAGCAACAAAATACTTCACAACCCGTCGAAGACACGCAAAACCTCAGAATTATTAAATCCATAGCTCCGAATTTCCCTCATCGTCATAACAACGAATGAGAAAACAACAGTTTCGCAATTCATAGAGGTTCATGATGTTTTATAATTCAAAAGAGGTTTTGCGAAGGGACGTTCTTCGCGATGGTTATCGCATAATGATTTTTCATGGTTTTGATCCTCTTGCCACTGACTGAGTGACTCAGATGTCGGTTACCCACCAGAGGTTAGTTCACTCTGGCGGCTATGAGATTCCTCAAGGGTAGCTGACGTCGAGTTCTCGATGTTCATCGGCAACTTGAATGTGTCGTCTTTGCCCCCAAAAATTAATTTCACTGCGAGTATCAGGATTCATTTGTTTCAGCTGCACTGAGGTAGGAAGGGTAAACCCAAACCAACCAGAACTTACATTAGTCAACATAAAGCGAGGAAATAAACAATAACATAGAGCAATTCTTACTTGAAGCCAAATACAAGCAATACTGCCAGAAGACAATTGATCAATATTTCGGCTTTTCAAAATGCGCCACGCCGTTTGCTGACGTTGCATTGCCTTTTCCTGGCAAAACGACGAGGAGGCAACGGCCAGACGGAGGCCAAGCCCCTTACTATAAGGCTACAAGCTGACGACAACGATTCGTGTAGGAACTGGAATTTCATGTAGGAAAGGAAACTACGGATTACCCGTGAAAATCTAAGGGGTGAGAAAGCTTCTTCGAGGGAATCACCTCTCAACGAAACAGTGATATGCTGTGAAAGGATCCAACGTTTCTAGGTAGGGGATAGTACGCGGCGCATTCCAAATGAACATTTCAGGGCTAACCTTTTTATGCTTACTTTTTCGTTTTTTTTTATAATTAAACAGAAATTCAAGCAGTTACACATTAGGTGAAAACATTTAAGGAAAGCAGATTACGTTGCGGAAACCAGAAAACGCTCCGCTCACCAGTTCCACTTAACTTTGAGGTAATGAGCCAGTCAGCAGAGAGAGTCAAAATGAGCAGGAGCATTTCTTTGGACGTTATTACCTTTACTTGCTCCATGAGATGAAGAGGAGACAAAATCGAATAAAGGCGGAACAATGGCAACCTTTAGATGACGCAAAGTTGCCACTACTTCAAAGGAGATGACGACTTTGCGGTGTTTCATGCATCACTGAGCAATGGTCTTGATCGCTTTCTCAAGAACCGCTAAGAGTCATCTGATATCAGAGGGGGAACCCCTTGTGAATGGCGTCATGTTACACTCTGGCTAATACATGCAAAGAAAAAAACGAAATTGATGATAAGCAGAGAAATGGAGTCATCAAGGAGAAGTGAAAACACCGCAACACACAGTGGGATGATTTTCATCCAGTACAAAACAAACACGAGAATCTATCAACAGGCAGTACGGGGCTCCTTCAACGAGGTAAACGCCCTGGACCTCTCACTGGCCCTATAGAATGCGAGTTTTCTTGGCCTGATGTGAAGTCAAGCTAGGAAAAAGAAGTGAGATGAATGTCTGGTGTATGGGGATTAAATCGCGATTAGTTGGAAGAATGACGGAAGCAGATGCATAGAAGTTGAAAGTAATCGCGGGTGGGAAGTTGTGTTGCGTAGTAGCGGTGAGTGAATGCTGTTTATTTGCAGNCACGAATTGCAAAGATCAGTTCCCTTTCGGATCTCTGGCACACCGAGCTTCATGACGAGGGAACACAGCGGTCTCGGAGAGCGGTCACAGACCACACCACGTAACCAACTGATTAATGTTTTCATAGTTCCCGATAATGCCTTTGTGTGAAGCCTGGTCTGGAACTTTTCGGTGGCGCATGAACAACAACAGCCAATACTTCCAGAGAATCAAAATTCCTCGGAAGCAAGGATTAGTTCCCAAAGTAGCGACAGTGTAATTGCATTGGTCGCAAGCCATCACTTGCAGTGTTCCTCATCGAATCCCTTGTCCAAACAGATTTATTGTGATTACTACACATTTCTCCACCGGCCATAACTTTATGGGAAACTCACTAATTCATCTATAGCATATCAGGTCATGGCTAATATTTTTCTTTTAAAGAACCGACACACCTAACTTGAAAAAAGCTCTAGAAGGAAAGGTTCACCATTCAAAACTGATGGAAGACCATAAAGCTTCAAGAGAACAACAATTTATGTGTACACAGAATGTAGTCGGCTGTGCCAGAGATCACTCGTCAAAATAACCCCCCCCCCC